ATAAAACCCTTTTGGGGACAGACTGCAGCAATGGGTAACTGGGTCTGATATTGCCTACACGAGGTTAATTCTGCATACACAAGAGCCATGAACTCAGTGGAAGCCCCACAACAGCTCTTTGCCCCATGTTTTCCTCCCATATGTCAGCCTTGGTGAAAGAGTAACCTGTCATTAATGAGGGATGGGAAGTTTTCCCCTTCTTCCTTCATAATCATATTGTAGCTGTAACATATCACATGACAACTAATACATGGAACTGAGAATCTGGGATGCTCAAAGCAACAGCATGAGCTTTTTCCATCTGTCTGACATAAAGAGAGGACTGAAACACAACCTCAGCATGTAATTATAATACTAAAAATTAGAGTATTTTTGTCCATCATTTACACTGCAGAAATGTGCATTTTGCTGAGGGATGTGCAAATCCAGGCTCAGCTCAGAGTGAACTCATGAGAGAGAATTAAGATGCAAACGTGGGCAATAATCTTTCACCTTTTACTGCCTCTGAGAACTTTAACTGTGGCTGAACTGGGGGCTCTGTTTTGCAGTGATCTCCTTGAACAGGCAAATGACTAATCTTCACTTTTTCATTGGCTCCTTCTTTTGGTAAGGAGTAAGGCAGAAACCAGAAAGGTAATGAGGCAAGGAAGTTGACTGCTCCACAGATGAGCAACCCAAGCCACCAGGCACCAACCCAACGGGTATCCTTAGGATTTATGCTGATGGTATCTATAAAATACAGAAAGACAAGAAAACAGATTAAATATCATGCAGAACAATTAAACTATTTCTTTTTAATTTACCTAAGGATACTAGAAGTGTCCTTATATATACTATATAAACACCAGAACAGAGGTGATTTGAGTTTCCTGTGAAGAGCTGAAATGCAGCTTGTATCAAATCAGTCCCATGCAGTCAAAAACAGATGTCTCCATTTAGACCCATGATGGCATTTCCTTGCCACAATCTTCCAACACTTTCTGTGGAAAAGAGTGACAGCAAGAAGGCCCTTCACCACCAAAAAACAAGAACTCCTCAATTTCCTGCTTCCTCCTCATTCTTCCATCCTCAAACTCAACAGTTTTTCCTTGAAGTTCCTCAGATTTTCCTTGGGATTAGACACCTGAAAGTTATTTTAACAATTAAATGACTTTTCATACGAATTTCTGCTGCATGCTTTTTAAGAGAACATAATTTTTGCCAAGTGTTGAAAATGTTTGTGAGCAAAGGCCTTTCACTGTTCCCTCAATGTGGGGATGGCCTTTCATTTGCTCATTTGTTCTGAGCTGGACAGAAGTGCAACAGCTGTGGGTACAAGCATAAAAGGAGGTACAAAATATTTCTGTAGCAGAGGTAGGTGTCTTGCATCAAGGGCTATCCCAGCCACATTACAGCACTGCAGATGTTAAAATGTAAATAACACCAGCTTTTGAGGATGAAAGACTCTCCAGGGAGCTCCCCCGTTTGGAGTTAAAGTTCTTCTTATCATGTGGGTTCCAACCAACCTCTTAGTTAATGCACCACCCCATGGTCTCTTACCGATATCCACAACGCCAATATCAACCCAAAGGCTGGCACAGAAAGATCCAAGCAGGAAGCCCAGGGTTGGCCCAAACATGCCCGAGGATCTCACCAGGCCTGTAAGAGAAGGGAGGTAGCAAGGAAGAGTGAGCAAAATGCTGGGCAGACAAGCACACCTGCTCCTTTGAAGGCATGTAAAGGAGAGAGGAAGGAGGAGAGAGAAGAGGGTCACAGGATGTTTGGGGATGTGCAGTAGGAAGCTTCTAACCAGGATGAAAATAAGCCACAAGCTGCCAATGCACTAGCTGCAATGTGGAAGGGGATTCCTTCACCCGCACAGGGGCTTGCTGAAGTGAGCGCCATCTCACATGGACACTCACATGCATTTCATTGGCAAGACTGCTGTCTAGGAGGGAACAGGAAGAAAGATAATAACATTGCAATTATTTTTATCCCTCCTCCTCCCTACTTCTCTCGTCAGAATTTTGTAGTTGCATTGCTGAGCTTGCGGTGGTTAACTAATGAACGTACAACTTGAGGCTGTTGGAGGTACCATAAATCTACCTGCCACTCTATTTACAGCTTGCATGATGCTCTGTGATTGTAGAAGTCAGGACTTTTCCCTGTACTGTGCGTTCAGGTCACTAGTTTAATTCTGAGTAGCAGCAGCTGATCTGATGAAGTGCATATACATCCTTGCAGTTGTATATGGAGTTACGTTAGGATGACGGGGACAATAACAGTGCATGGACATGGGATTAGGTACAGGACCCTGAGAATATTTTCAGTAGGCAACGAGGAGATGTAAGTGTGCCTCTGTGTGATCCAGGTTCATCAGACAGAACCTTTGTTGATTCATTCAGCACAGGAATGAGTAAATCAGTTAATGTGAATACGTAATTATGCGGCTGTATAAATAAAATCAAGAAATCTAGTGATCAAGTAATGACCTCTTTATAATCAGCTTTCAGTTTTGCTACTGGCCTCACTGAGACTTGTATTTCCTGCTCTGTCTCTGCTTACGAAGGGGATAACATGGGCTCAGAAGAAGATGGGATGGCCCTATGAGCAAATGAATAAGCTGTGAAGGGTAGCAGAAACCTAGGAAGCTAGGACTGTATTTTGCTGACTGGGTATGTAAATACAGTGCAATTAGATTTTGGTGGCCACTGCTGGAGATCAACATAAAATAAAAATATCCTCAAAATAATTTGAGCATAGGTCCTTACTTTCCTTTGTCACTTTTGGTGATCTTTTGAAGTGTAGTTATAGGGGGTAAAAGTTTCAAAAAAAAAAGTTCAGTGATTCAGATTTCTAAATTCTAGCATGGAACTGCCACTTGGGAGCTGTTTAAAGTTGCAGAATGCTTTATTAGAAAAAAAGGAATTCTTGATCAAGTGCCTGTCAGTTCTTGCCCATGTTCAGCCCTATGCTCTGTAAATCCTACTGTGTTGTCCAACTGCAGAGATTTTTCTCCTATTAGTTTTGCAAACTCTCTTCTGAATACAGTAATCACTCAGCTTATGATCAAGGACTTTTATAATAAATTCCCAGAGCATAATTTAACCATATGATTTTTCTGGTTTGCTTCATTGCTCTGATTGCATACTGCTTTCATTTACTTCTCTCATTTTACTTCATTGGAAGATCTGGCCTTTTAGATCAAATTCTGGTGCCTCCAAAGTGATTGACTTCTGCAGAGTCAGGATTTTGACACTAGAAGCCAGGAATTAGCTCTTTATGTTTATCAGTGAGTCTAAAGCACAACTTACTACTCAAGATCATCTCCAAACTTCAAATACTCAGTGGCAAATTTCTAAAATCAACAGATAAAAACCAGCATGCCCATACTAATGGTCTTGTATATTGTATGCAGTATATTTCTTTAAAATACCATAAACTATCAGATAAAATAAGAAGCATACATGCAATAATTTTGCATATGTATAGTATTTAAATTAAATTTCACACTTGCATGCTCATTACTTCAAAAATAACTCCACTAAGATAGTATGATTGTATTGTGCTAAAAAAAAAGCAAATAAGTTCACTCTGATATTTTCTTATCATATTTTCCTTTGTAATATTTATTGCTTGTAATTAACAAACAGACTAAACTGCTAGCAAGTAAATCATGTAGACTTATCAGTTAATCAGCTGCTGCATATTGACATAGCTCAGCCAACCCTTTCATTGATGAGTAATTTAGCATGTAACAGGTATTAAAATTTACAACATACAACATTTGCCTCAGATATGCTTCTACTGAAGACGTGGTTTCGATAGTAACAAGATTATATGCTAGTGCTCAACTCAGTGATGAAATTTCCTTCATTCAAAGCCTCTAATAAAATTAACCACTACAGCAAAGCTGCCAAAGGATTTTCATGCTGTATTCCATTGACAATAAAAAGCTGTCTCTGCCTCAAAATAAGTTTTGTTCTTACTCAACAAAACATCTAAGAGAAAAAGAAAATGGAGAGACAGGAAGGCAAAACTCACTGATCAGGGTCAAATAATGAGACCAGTGGTCAAAATTCAACAGCAAGGTTTGACTGAATTTTTTCATTATACGACATTTTTTTAATATATTTTTTATATATTTAAAAAAAAACATTGATCATAAATTTATTCAGTCAAATGATTAAAAAAAACCCAGATATTGAAAAGAATTAAAATTGGTCAAGAAAAGGAATTTCAGCTCTATGGAAAAGATTGTACTTCAACTTTCTTTTTTTTTTTTGCAAATTGGGTCAGTTCATCAAACTATCAAAATGTTTTAATAGAATAAGAGACTGAAAATTACTATTTAGAATGTTAAAATGAAACATTTTAATACTCTGTAAATGAAGTGCTTTGTTTCAGTTGCATGACACAAACAAATTTTCATTTTGGTTGAATCCATACTATTCTGTCTGCCAGCTTTATATTTTCAATATCACTTCCCCAATAGCTCCCAACCTGACACAATCTCTTCCAGATCAGATTCTGACAAGAAAAAAAAAAAGCTAAACTTTTAAAAACATTTTTAATCACAAGCTCAGAGGCGATTAGAAATATTTTGGATAACTGCTAAGTGGAATTTTTGTTTTTGTCAGCTCCCTTTACAATACCTCCATTTTCTTCTACCTGCAGATTTCCTGATCCCCAAATGAAGACATTTGCAATGGCCTTACCCTGTGGTACTACTCACTGAGCTCTTCCTGAAACTGTGTCATACTATGTTTATGACCAGTCCAACTTCACCAAGTTGACTTCAGGCAGCCGTTTTGTGTTCCCTCAACCACACAAACACTCCATGCTATTAAATCAGTTTAGCAATAAATGAATTAGCTTGGGTGTAAGTGTTTCTGTCTTGGGCAATAGGCTATGTTTTGTCAAAACAACAACAACAACCTAATCCAAATTAGAAGTGATTTGTTACAACACCCTGGCAAGGGTTTGGTTTTCCCTTCAGTGACTTTAAAAAAGCTTTCATCAGGAAGTGTGCTGCATGTAAAATTCAGGAAGTCAGGTAAAAGCTTCTGTAACATGTTTACTGTTACTAAGGATAATTCTCGTATTTGTGGAACAGTGATTAGGAGGAATTTATTCTCTGAAGCTGTGGTACTGGCGGTGATATGCCAGATAAGACAGATATGACTTCTAACTTTGGAGAAATGAGTATTTGATTATGCTTTTCTTCAGTCACAAAGAAAATTGGCATATGTAGCAGAAGCCACTTGAGGAAAGCAAAAGGAGCACCTGAGATCTCTTTTGCATTGCTTTTTTGTCTCTGTGCAGCTCAAAATTATCTAGAATAGAGCAGATGGATTTTTTTGCTGAGTATTTGCTTGGCTACAGAAATGTCAAAGAAAAGAATGCATAAAAACCACTCATTTGCATATTACCTATGTAAAATGCTGAGTTTTCTTCTTTAGAAAAATCATCAATATATGAAACTCCCAATGGCATGACTGGTGCTTCCCCAATTCCACGTAAAAGGTTCCCCATCAGCACAAAAAGCCACAGATAGGAATTTGTTGTTTTCTCACATTCTGCAGGTCATAAACATTTACATTTCTGTGAACATAATTCTGACAATACTTTACTGCAACAGAAAAATAACATGAAATATGTTGGTTTTAAATCATTATAGAGCGGGCTTGTATATATCATGGTTTTTAATGGGGCTTGTACTGCTTTCCAGTAAAAGAAGGCGTATAAAATGGAACCAAGCAGAAGGGAACCCAGCATCAGAGCTTTTGCTTACCAAAATTTTTTGTTGCGCTGGGTGTTTCTGTAGCATCTGTGACTGGATGGCCCACAGACAATGCTGGGGAGCAAGCTGATACACTTGTAGAAGAGTTGTCCACAGTAACAGTTATCCTTTCATAATTATAACTGGAAAACAACTATGTAAAATACAACTGACACATGAAAGACTCTGCTTTGCACGAAGTGTGTATGAGTCTTGTGTTCAAACGTATTCATTCCTGTTACATCAAGGCAAAGCAGAGGGGCAACCCATTTCCAGTGCTTTTGCTTAAAAAAAAGATAGGTATCTCTATATGTTTTCCAAAATGCTCTGACCATTCTAACCCCAATATTTTCCTAAACTAAAGAACAAAAAAGCTAGTTCCAGGGCTTAAGAGATCATTCTTTGGACTGAAGCAGAGTCCATCCACATCTGTCTCTATACAACAATGCTGAGGTTTTTCCATACTGGCACCAGTTTCTTACCTGTGACAGATGTGTAACATAGAGATTTCTGTGTTAGTTTAAAATTAGCTAGCTAAGGACCTAGTAGTGATGCATCTGTGTCTATAAAGAGATTAACACAGGCTGCAAAACATGCGTGCCAGTTTGTCTGTATTTAGGCAGTTAGCTACTACAGCAAGTCTGCTAAGTAAATTGAAGCCACATTGAATAAATTTATGCTACTTTGGGATAAATGGAGTGCAGATATTCCCTCTGACTGTGCAGTCAAGTGGTGACCTTTAATATTGTGATGGATGATGGTGAGGTCCCCATGGCCACCAGGTTTTGCTCAGTGTTGTGGAGAATGGGTAATCTTCAGAACTTGGCTGTGAGTTTGGGTTAAATCAGAGAGTTCCATAGCTTTGCTTCTGGCTTGTGCTGTCCCCTGCAGTGCAGGTTCCCTGCTATTTCATAAGGACAGTAGTGACAGTGGCCACTTTCCATACCATGGTCCCCAGATAGAATTCTTTCCATACCCTCCTTATCACAGGTATTGTTTTTGGAACTAAAGATGGACAAATAAGTTATAATTTTTGAGGGACAGAGAGGCTTTATTTTCAACTACTGTTCAGTGAGGATGCCGAAGGACTGGAGAGCTATGAACTGTTTCTGACAGCTATGTAAGCACTAAAGCTTAGATGTGAAGGGTTATTTAGATATTTAACTCCCCCTGAGTTCAGTGGAGATAGAAACACATCTTGATAATTTCAAAGAGCTTAGACGAATAGCCACCATTGAAAAAGAAACCTCTTCCTTCAAGATCTCATTACAGTTAATTTAATAGGAGAATGGCAAAAAAAATACACATATATATCCATCCCAGGTGAAAAATTCAACCCACTTCATCCCTAATTATATTTGAGTTGTGTAGAAATCTTAGGTTTCTCTTTTACTTACCTGTAGAAAGAGGTAAGCTTTCAGAGAGAAAACCAGAAAGTCAATCCTAAAAATCCACCTATTAAAACCTTCCTGTTATCTGGAAGAAACTACTCTTGTCAAGCTTTTAACTTGGGTATATGAGTAAAAAATATTTCATATGGTCAAGTTCAATTAGTGCACAATGTGAAAACTCTTCATATTTACCGTCCCATTAGGAACTGAGGTATCACTGACAAAAATGCTCCTAAGGACATGATGAGGCATCCAATGGCAATTACTTTTGGTCGATGAACTCTTGGTCCAAGGTAGCTCACCAGCACCATTACCATTAAGTTACCTGCATCAGTAGGAGAGAGAACCAGTAAGATCACAAAAATATATTTTTTTAAGGGGAAAAATATATTAAGAAGCAGTATTTATCCACTTTCCAAGAAAGCACACACACCTATCTCAAAGCTGCCATCAATAATGCCAACAATTGATGATGAGATTTCAAATCTCCTTTCAATTTGACTGGTCATGCTCTTCATGTAACTTCCAGAAAATCCTTTGGCAAAAAAGGAAAAAGCTAGAGCTCCAAGAAATATCTGAAGAGAGAAAATAATTGAGTTTGCAAAGAAATGATATTTTTTTCATGGTTGGATGCCTGAATAACCTACTAAACATAAAAATCAAATGCTTTGCTTTTTAATTCTCTCTAAATTAGAGAGATTCTTCCTATTGTTTTCATTAAAACAGAAGATTTTACTTTCTCTTTAAGGATGGCCTCCAAAGCCTCTTCTACTGCAAAGAAAAAAAAAAAGTTGACACTGAATGTGTGCACCCTCTACCTTTCTACCACATACTGTTTTAGCTTTTTCCTTCCGTGGGGAAAACTTGCAGTATAAAGTTGTTTATTACTGGTACTATTATTTCAGCATGTCCCATTACTCCTACTTCCCCTGTTCTAAAAAACATCAATAAAAAGTTATAGTTGCAACTACCACTATGACTATAGCACACCTCTCAATGATTTGTTAGTAAAATACGGCCTCACTTTTAACTCCTGAACACATTTACTGACTTCTATGTGCTTGGAATCACAACCTAGAGCACTGTTTCCAGGACATGTAGCATCAAATGTTGTCATACAAAACTAATTGAATTTTGATAGAACCTCAAGTTGTCGTTTTCAGCATTCCAGAGAAAATCTGTGGTGAAGGCTCTTCTCCATACCTTTAGCTTTGAACAATTATGGCACATGCTCTTGGTAGGAATCGCGCTGCCATCACCGTCCTGAAAGAGTGACTTGTCTTTAAGTTCACCAGTAGTGATTGGCCTGTCCATGGTTTTCCTCCTCCAGATCTGATACATAGGTCTTCCTGTTAGAAAATATGACTATGATTAACTATTATTTGCATAAGAATAAAGGTTCCAGTGTTTTTCAGGCATACTAGATGGTAAGACACTACTTGAGATGTCTACACATTGACACCTGTTCTCGGGAAGGATGTTAAAGAGTGTTCAAAGTGCCATTGTAATGAGTTAAGGATTGGTGTACCTGGTTTGTGAAATCTGCTTTCCAAACGACTTCAGGATCCTCTTAGATAGATGAAAAATTTAGAGGCAACTTGCTGACAGTTTTTAGAAATCTTTGTAGAGAAAGAAAGTCCCTAGGCAGCTGGAGGCTAGGAGACCAGTTCTTACATTCTCTCTTAGATATCTGCTTTTGATCACTGTTCCAGGCTAAATGGACCTTTGGTATGATCCAGTGGAGTCCTGATATTATGCTTTTTTTATGAGGATTTTCTCTAGGTGTGTAATCTATTAATTTGCAGAAATACTGAACACTACTCTGTGCCATTCTCTCAACATTCCTATGAGCAATGTTATTTATTGGATAAATGCTTGTAGAATCAGACCACAAATTATGACTGAGGAGAAAACAGGATAAGAGATATGGTAGGTAAAGATGTATTATGGAAAAAGAGGCCACTGACTAAAATAAATTAACTACTATCCTTAATTCCACAGGTCTCCACAAGTTCCTGCAAGACAGATGAAAACTGTAGCTATTTTAATGAGACTGCAAAAATTTCCTGTTTAATTTTTTTTTCTGATATAAGGAGTCATCTTAGCTATAGTGGTTGATGTAGATTAAGCTGATGAGGGAAAACCAGTTAATACAGAGAGATCTGGAATAATAAGAAGCCAAAAAGATCTATTGTCAAGTTCTTCTGTTGGAAAATTGGTGCGGTAGTAGCAAAATCAATTAGTTACCTCCAGTATACATTGGCACATGCATTAGAGGAATATGGAGGAACATAGGCCAAAGAATTGGCCTCTAACATTTTTCCCTCCAAGACACTGGGATCTTCAATATCCCACTCTGTTTAACTCCTCTGGGAACTTCTCAAAGCTCCCCTCCTGCAGGCCCCAGAGGCCAGCTGACCCGTGAGCAGAGGTCTTTTAAATAGCATGAGGGATTTTTGACACCATGGGTGGTAGGGCTGTGTCAGAGTCCTGGGTTAACCCACAAAGGTCACTCTCTGGAGAGCTCAGTTCTCCCAAGCAAGATGCTCAGAAGCAACCTGGACTCCCTGAGAAATGTCCACCCATGCCCAGAAAAGACAACACTCTCTTGGCAACACAACAGCCCCTCAAAAGTTATTCCTATTTACTGTGAATAGGCATTAATGTCTAATAAGGAGATGTAAAGCCTCATAGGCAGTCTCACTTAAATTTTGTAGCTTTTAGTTCCAAATCCTACTCCAGCAGGATCCACAAAAAGTGACTATGAAAAGCAACATTTCAGTGATCCACATACAAAATTTCTAAAGGGCCTTAACCTTCCTTAGACTATCTTTTGCAGTTCAAAAATCAAAATATATTGAAAAAAGTAGTTATAGATAATTAAAGTATGGTGAATTCAGATTTACCCCAATCTTTACAGGGTGGGAGCTGAAAGACACAGTTCTCTAAAGCAAATACATTGTTTATTGATTTGTATTTTGCTGATGATTAACTTCACCAAACATCTGACTCTGTTAAATAAACAGTATTTAAATCAGTGATGTGGTTTTCTTTTCACAATACTTAATGTTATGCTGTCAGTTTAATAATCTAACTTAAACTCACAGAAAATGTTAAACTGTATAAACACTTCTCTTATGCTTAATGAAACAATAACATTTTCCATAACCACTTTAGCAAACTAGTGAATCATTGACACCAGTGGTACTTAAAATTAAATGAAGCAAGAAAAATAATACAAGATTTAATTTATGACAATTTTGAATAATTAATTAATGGTGATGAATAGTTTTTGGATGGAGGGTTAAAACATCTCACTGTCCACAGTGCTTATCCTTTAAAAAAAAAATAAATTTAAGAAAAAATCTAATTTTCAGAACTGTACCTTTGCTCTTTACATAAACTTTTTCAAGTTTAATGACACCCAGATGTATAAAAAGCCTAGTCTGCCCTGCATTAGCACCTAAAACTCAAACGAACAAACACCCAAATGGAGAGAAGCAGGAAGGGAGAGCGGGGAGACAGAGCGAGGGGCAGAGAGAGAGAGGACTTACTCTGTGTCACTGCGGTGTCAGGCTGTTTCTTCCCCGTGCCCCAGGGCTTTCAGGCCTGAAGCCAGCGCAACGTCACAGCCAAAGCGCTGCCTACTCCAAGAAGTGGAGCACTCCACTGCATTTTTTTTAAACCTTGGATTTCCTTCTTATGGCGATTGCAAAACTTTCCCACAATCACTGATAAAAAAAAAAAGCTTTGCAAAAGAAGTCAGGTTTCTCGTGTTGTCATTACTTTGGCAGCCTACCTGCCAGCATACTAGTGCTGCCAGCCTCTCCCAGGAGGAACAACTTGTTTTCTTCATTCTTTTTTTTTTCTTTTTTTTTTTTCCCCCTAAAGTCTTAATACTTATGCTGCTTTAAGCACTTCTCCAAAGGGGATTCCCTTCTATCCTTCCCTTCCATCCACCCAACAGCCACGGAGAGACACAACTCATGTACAAGAGCCCTGAGAGAGCAGGCTCAGTTTTGCCAACATCTTCCCTGCAGCCTCAGTAAGCTGCATTTCTTGGTGCCTTTGATGAGGGCCAGCAAAGATACTAAGGGATGATTTAGCTCCTCGAAGGGCATGACTTGTGTATTGACATCTGCCAGTTTTTAGAGGGCCCTCTGTGTCACAACCTCAATGAAGAGGTGCATGAGGGCTACCCTCATGGAGACCTACAGAGAAGAGGATGCCCTCAGGAAAACACAGCCTCTGTCAGATCCCCTGCCTATTATAAATCAGGATTATTTAACACAATAACAGGCAGTTCCTGCAGGTGGCAATAGGAGCTGTGGGATGACACAGCTATCCCTCCAAGCTCACTAGAGACTGGCCAAACAAAAACAGTGAGTGGATTACCCACAGCTAACCCAGCTCTCATGTCCTAATCAACCACAAGTAGAAAATCACCTTTCACGTCTAACGTGGCATACACAGAGTGCAAACCCACCTAATCCATGTCTTCTCTAGAGCAGAACTCTCCAAAAAAAGGAAAGATTCTGACTCAGAAGTCATTCCAGGTATTATCAACAGTCTCAAGAAATGGTTTTTGATCATCTGGTTACATGTAATAGGACTGTGTTTGCTTTTGAAGAAACTTGAATTACAAAATCAGATTCACATCTAATTAAAGGACCATTCTAGTGATTTCTAAATATAGAAAAAAGAACTTTATGAGTCCAGTAACTTCAGGAACCCTGGAAGGAAAAAGCATTGTTCCACTACCTCTTTTCTCAGTGAGCAAATCAAAACACAGCTCAATTCTACCATTTAGTAAGACTATATGCAACATAGAAAAATGTTATTTTTTATTATGGTTTTAATTACAATGTTCCTGCATTAGTGTTTAAATGTTAAATTCTTGTTTAATTAATTTAGTTTTAATACAAAGGAAGAACGTATATATTGAAACTTTCTTTCTCTTAAAAGAACTCAGAATACAGGAAATGCAAACAAACTTATTCTTCAGACAAACTGATCCATTCTCATACTTTTATTTAGGTGAAGAAGAGTTATCTTTGTGTAGTTCTTAATGCCTTAATTATTATTTTTTAAAAAAAATTAAAATGCTTAGATTCATACACCGGAATATCAGTAGAATAAATCATAATTTGCTTCATCTGATAATTTCAAATTTACATATATTACAAACTGAATTTGGACTGCTTTTAACTATTATGATACCACAAAGTCTGAGGGGAAAAGAAAAAATCTACCTTAGCAATGGGTCCCCTATTTATCATTGCTGTCAGCATGCAACCAGGTAGAAGAACAGAGGCCTGTTGGAAAGGCAACTGCAAGCCTATTGTCTATCAGGAGAGGAGGCACAGTTCTCAAAATGAGACACTTGGAAAAATCCCATCAGTACTTTGATAAATGTATTTTAAATTTGAATACAAAGAAGTTTATCTATAGAAGGCATGACACTTCTTGTGATTGTCACACATAGGTGGTGGGATCCACTTATGAGGCAGCATTGCATGAATTCAGTGCAGATACTTCCAGATGAGCAGTTCAATCAGTATCTCTTTATAGTCAGAGGAGGAAAAAAAAGCACTTCCAAAGGTGTGAATTGTCTGGTCTATTTTAGATACTTACCTCAGGTATGAGGTGAATTGGACTCCAGATATGGCTGTGAAAGAAGACTAGACAGTAAGATCAACTTTTGACAATGGAAAGTCAGGAGAGGTGAATCCCACCATAAGAGACTTCAGTACTCCCACAAAAATAGTCTTCTGTAACTTTTGCAAACTGAGCTCCATTGTCTGTGACCACCTTTGGCATCATGCCTGTCCATGCAACTCAGTTGTGATATGGCAGCTGCTAACAGATGAGGAAAAGGGCCCTTGTTATGGAAGCACAGTCCTGGGGAAGGAAGCCGCAGCTGCCAGACCCTGGCCATGACCCTCCATGAGCCATGATGTGGGCTGTTGTGTCAGCCACCAGCCTGACAACTGGCTGTACGTTGGTCTTGTCCATTGGGAACCTGTTCTACAAGGCCCGTGGTAGCATGGAAACTCAAAACCTGGAGAGCAGGTCACCGACAAGGAAATGCTTGTTGTAGCTGATGAAGGGTTGCTGCTTCCTATGTGACCCAGTGTTGTCTGTCTGTGGCAGGCTTGGAGCGGCAGGAGCTCAGAGATGGGTGGAAGATCACCCTGCAAACAGCCCTGGGAAGAGCTCCAGTGGAGGGAGCTGCCTCCCAAGCCTGCACCACCACCCATGTGCCCAAAGCAGGACACGATGTCCCTGATGTGATGCATCTGGCTGGTTATACA